CACATGGCGGTTTTCAATTTTTAATCTTCCCACGTGAAATGATTGCATGCAAAGTTTACAAAAATAATTACTCTGTATTTTGCATGTAAAATATATTATATTGTTTAGTTAGATGTGTACGTAATTTAATTTTAAATTGCATATAAAGGCATTGCAGTGCTTTATAAAGAGAATGCAAAGTATTTTATCACTCTCCCCCCATCTAAAATATTTTATAAAATGGTATAGTGCGAAATATTTTTAAAAAGTGTCCTACAGTTTACATTAAAGAATCAAGTCAAACGGTGTAAACCTTTTATGTTCATACACTTTGCATGCAAAATAATTATTTTACATTCTAATTATTTCATTTTTTCTTTTCCATCTTCCTCACTAAATTTCTCTCATACCACATTTGGTAATATCTATGTGGTTGTAATTCATTCTTACTATAATCTCATTTGATCAATTCATCATCAATCATACTTCGTATAACTCTAATTTTCTTAAAAGTCGTACCACTCTCTTTTATACAAATCATAGGGGGACGGAGGTAGTATTTAAAATATTTTTTGTTTGTTTAGGAAAGTATTTAAAATACATTTAAATATGGAGAATTCTCCAAATAGGAATAAATCAAACTTTAGTTGCCAAAATAGGACCATAACTTAAAAATTCTTCAAACAGGACTAGATTTTCAGTTCTACCCTTGCTTTGTTTTTATACAATTCATATTTCATTAATAATTAAAATATAAAAGTAATAACATAACTTTACTTATAATAATAATGTAAAATAAAAAAATAAAAACACGAAATAAATACTATCTATGTTCTTAAATAAATGCAACATATTGAATCTTACATTGTTTACATATTCTAATTTGACTAAGTTTTATTTATTAATGTATTAAAATATTTTATGAAAAAAATATTGTTAAAATTGTCTCATTGTAAATTTTCAAAATCTAAATTTGTTTACTAATACAAAATTATATACATTAATGGTGAAAGTTGTGCCTCGGCAAGTGTGAAATGTTGATCGTTGCATTTATTTAAGAACAGAGGAAGTGTTAAATAAAAAAATTGAAAAATAAAAAATTATGCAATAAAATACTTAAAAATTTAAATAAAAATTAAGAAATGAAAAAAATACAGGCTATCCTGCCACCTCAGTAACCTCCAATCACCCCTAGCTCTGATCACCGGAAAAAAATCTCATGTGTCAGAAATGCCATCTTGATGGCAGTTTTCGAGAAAATGATAACTTTTTCAAAGAGTACAAATGTCATCTTCATGACATTTTCAGGGAAAAAATGACAGTTTTTACATATAATGACTTTTTTTTAGCCAATCAGAGGTAACTTGGCTGGGTAGTGGCCAAGTCTCTGGGAAAGTCCTTTGTAAAGTGTTTTATCTATTTTTATCCATTTTTAAAGTTTTTTATTTTTCTTAAAAAAATTAAATTTTATTATTTTTAGTATTTTTTAAAATTATTTTAGAATTTGTTTTTATAATTTTGTAGGATTTTTTGTATAAATTAAATTATTTTTTATTTTTTGTATTTATTACAAATTAAAATATGATTATCCTATTAAGTTATGGTAAGGGTATTATAGTATTCTTTAGTCCTCTTTTGGGAAAATAAATAACATAGTCCTATTTGTGCATTTAGGGATTAATTTAGTCCTACTTAGGACAATTATCTCATTTTATTAATGAAAAACAAATTATATGAAAGATACTAAGTCTTGGGTAGTTTTGTTGTATATATACATTTATTAATTATTTTTAATTAATAAAATGCACAAATTGAACTATGTTATATGTATATTCTGGACCATTTTATATATACATTTATCTCATTTAGTTTTGTTGTATATATGTTTTGTTGTATATATACATTTATTATATGAAAGAAAACTGCGTTTTATATGTATATTCCGGACCAGTTTTCTTTCAAAAATCATTTGACGACCTTCCCGATTGAATTTTTTGCTCAAATTTGGTATGGATGAACTAGACTTGATGAGGAACATACACAAAAAATTTCAGCCAAAAATACCACCGGTTCTCACCGGCTCTCACGGGTTCTCATTTTAAGAGGGATTCTCACTAGAACCCTCCCCATATATATATATACATATATATATGTATATATATATATGTATGTATGTATGTATGTATGTATATATATATTGGTTTTGGTTCAAATAAGAACACGATCTTATGAGAAAAATGAGAACAAATCTCGACCGTTAGATTTGCTTTAAGTGAAATTATAGAGAGAGAGAGAGAGAGAGAGGAAAGTTCATGTCACGACCTCCAAAAATGGACCTCCGTACGGACCTCGGCGTTTGGGCCCCTTCCAGGTGGAATTTTTTGATGAAATGTTTTGAGCATGTTCTTGATCAAGTCTAGTTTACTCATACCAAATTTCAGCTAACAATTCAATCGGGAAGATAGTCAAATGATTTTTTGAAGTTAACTGTGCACTTTATATACATATAAAATGCAGTTAACTTCCAAAAATTTTTTGACTGCCTTCCCGATAGAATTGTTAGCTGCAATTTGGTATGGGTAAACTAGACTTGATGAAGAACATGTTCAAAAACTTTCATCAAAAAATTCCACCGGGAAGGGGCCCAAACGCCGAGGTCTGTACGGAGGTCCGTTTTTGGAGGTCCTGACATGAACTTCTCTCTCTCTCTCTCTCTCTCTCTCTCTCTATATATATATATATATATATATATATATATATATATATATATATATATATATATATATATATATACACACACACACACACACACAAAAATGATCAGGTCCAAACGTTCGGACAGGATCCTCTGTCCGAACATCCCCGTTTGGGGCCCTTCCCGGTGGAAGTTTTTGATGAAATTTTGTGAGCATGTTCCTCATCAAGTATAGTTTGACTATACCAAATTTCAGCTCAAAATTCGATCGAGAAGGCATTCAAATAATTTTTTGAAGTTGATTGTATTTTTATATGTATATTTTGACGCAGTCAACTTCAAAAAATGATTTGAATGTCTTCCCGATCGAATTTTGAGCTGAAATTTGGTATGGACAAACTAGACTTGATGAGGAACATGCTCAAAAATATTCATCAAAAAAGTCCACCGGGAAGGGCCCCAAACGTCCATGTTCGGATGGTGTTCGGACCTGAACATTCCTCTCTCTCTCTCTCTCTCTCTATATATATATATATATATATATATATAATATAGGTATGTTTTTGAAAGCCTGTGGGGTCTCGGAACCCTTAGTGGGTCCGCCACTGCTCCTGTCTGCAATTCATCCTACACTCCCACCTCTAACTATCGGTCGCACTGCGTCTCTCTTCGTCCTCACTGCAGTGCTACCTTCGCCGGGAAGCAAATAGTCCTCACATTTCATCTCATCCGATCCACCTTCTTTCTTCTTTCGTCAACCCTGTGACTGTCGCCCCTTCGCACTTTGTCGCCCATCGATTGGAGCACAAGCGACCATTGATCTACTTCGATTTGGAGAGCTCACTTTGGTGATCTACCTTCGTCGAGTTCAAAGACTGCCTCCATCTTTGCGGCAATGGATTTAGACGATGAGTGGTTATGGTGAGGGCAAAGTAGGGGTCACGAGAGGTCCTAGACAGGGGAGGGGGTCATGACAGGGTGTTGGGTAGGGAGATGGCCATGGCTGTGATAGTGGTATGCAACGGCTGAGGGCGAGGTGTGGTGGTGGGATGCGGTGGCTGCAGGTGATGCAGGTGGGGTCATTGGGGGTGTGGGGGTGGGGTAGCGATTGCGCAGGAGTTGGGGTTGGGAGAGACATTGTTGGGACAATGTTAGTCAATGTTCGGGCAGGGGCGATCCCTGGAATCACTAGTTGGCAGACAGTGGTCACTCACATCACTGCGCTGGTAGTGGTAACTAGACTGGGGTCATTTGGCTAGTGATCGTTTCTAGGACAGTGGTAGTCACTAGCTGAGTGATCATGGGTCAAGTGGTCACTGCAGGACAAAGTCACTGTGAAATTGGTCATTGTATAGTTGGTCACTATGACGTTAAATACTGTAGCAATGGATGAAGTGGGAAGGGGTATAATAAACCTCTTAATCCTTTTTTTAGTACGTAGTAATATTCTTGTCTTAATCCCACACATGTGTGTGCGCACGCGCGTGCGCACACAGACATATATATATTGACTGCATTTAATTAAGTTTTTAAAATGGGGTTAGGTCATGAATAATACTAATTAAAAGCATTTGGACAAAAATGAGACCTCTTTTAAAAATTACCAAGAAAGTCACCATGCGTGTGTATCAATTAGAATCTTAAGATCAAGGCTAAAGGGTCCAATAGGTACATGAACTAACTTAAAATGTTCAATTAGCCCCTTATATAAGAGGTTCTGCCCGGCCGTCGCCAATTGGGGCGGTTCCCGGTGGAAGTTTTTGATAAAATTTTTTGAGCTTCTTTTTTATTAAGTCTAGTTAACTCATACCAAATTTCAGCTAAAAATTCAACCGGGAAGGCAGTCAAATGATTTTTTGAAGATAACTGTGAAGTTAAACAACGCAGTACATTTCGGAAAATCATTTGATTGCTTTCCCGTTTTAATTTTGAGCTGAAATTTGATATGAGTAAACTAGACTTAATGAAGAAGATGCTCAAAAAATTTCATCAAAAAATTCTACCGGGAACCACTCCAATTGGCGACGGCTGGGCAAAACCTCCTATATAAGGGGCTAATTGAACACTTTAAGTTAGTTCATGTACCTATTTGACCCTTTAGCCTAAGATCAATATGCCAAATATGCCCCTGCCTAGTCTACCGCGGCACTAGATACTCCGTATGAAGTATCGATTATCTCTCTGTGGCTCCCTGCATGTGTTCCAGCCTATGATTAAAAAATTATTTATTTAATTTTGATATTATTCCTCAATTATAATTAAAAGATGACCCTTTACAATTACTTATTTATTTACTCCGTATTTATTTATTTGATATGAAAAGTTACCGTTACTCATTTACATTTATCCGATCAATTACATTTATCCGATCTGATCAGTTACAATTATCTCATTCGGCCAGTTACAATGAATCACTTTGATCAATTAAAGTTACCCGATTCGACCAGTTACAATTACCCGGCCCGACCAGTTACAATTACCCGTTTCGACTCTTTACAATTACCCGATTCGATCAGGTGCAATCACCCAATCCGATCAGTTATAATTACCCGTTTCGACCAGTTACAATTACCCGACCAGTGACAAAGTTACAAAATCGATAGTGACCAATGACAAAGTTACAAAATCAGTCTGTGACCAAAATTCCGATAGTGACCAAGATTCCATTTGACCGCCCCACCGCCGTCACTGATCAATCCTGCATCGCAGTTGTCTTCACTGCCGCCGCTGCCAGTGACCTTTCCTGTCCCCAGTGACCAGTCCGCATTCACTGCTGCCACTGCCGGTGACCTTTCCCGCCCCCAGTGACCACTCCGCACCATCGCCAGTGACAACTCCGCGCCGCCGCCAGTGACTAGTCCACGCTGTCGCCATTGACCTGTCCTTGCCTCTGCCAGTGATCCTTTCTGGCCCCGCCGATGACCAATTCGCGCCGCCGCCAGTGACCACCTCATGCCACCACTGCTGATGATCCCCGGTGACGAATCTGTCCAGTCCATTTACTGCAGCCAACCTCCCCCAGGCCCCCCACCATCCTAAGCCCGGCTTAAGCCCATGTCCCAATCCCCAGCCCAGCCCTAGCCTCCTCCCAAACCCCTGTACAACCATTGCCCCACCCTTGTAACCCTAACACGATATCACAGAAATGAAAACGAGATGAACAGAAACTCGACGAAGGACCAATTGAGGATGCAGTGATGCACAGAGGCGATGCTCGATGCTCGTAGCTTCAGACTTCGGTCGTTTCAGAGCTGGAGAACACGATTGATTTACAGCCGGGGCTATTAATGAATCGCAGGCGGCGGCGATGGTGAGGCGATTGGCAGGCGGCAAGAAGGGGATGCAATTGGAAGGCGTCATCGATGGTGATGGGATTGGCAGCCGTCGGTGATGCAGGGACAGAGGCGATGGTGGGAAGACGGAGGCGATGGTGGGAAGACGGAGGCGACGGGTAGTTCGCTGGGAGCTATAGAGATTTCAAATGTCTGCAACGATGAACGTTAGATTTGCGAAAAGGGTATTTTGGCCTTTTGAATTCTAAGAGGTTCTTATTTATGTCCGTATTATTAAGCTGATGTATTTTTGTCCAGCTAGAAAGTAGGAGTAGTATTTTAGTCATTTTTTTCTTTTAAAATTTAAATGTTCTCAATCTCCAAGGCTTTATTGAAGAGATATAAAGTTAGAATTTAAATTGTGTCAATATTAGTGGTGGACCCGGTTCGGGCCGCCCGGCCCGTTACTGTGCGGGCCCGGAACCGGCCTGGTTCTCGGGTCAGGGTCCGGTTCGGGCACCGAACCGGTGGGGGTGGCGGGTCCGGGCTCGGGTGTTGTTTTTGGCGGCCCGGGCCGGCCGGGTCGGACCCGGGCCCGGGCCTAACGGTCTAATTTTTATTTTTTTTTCCTTTTAATTTAAAAACTCCTTTTGGGCTCTTGGCCCACTTCCCAAACAGCTATATACCGGGGGGGGGGGGGTCCGGGGCCTTTGGGTGGTGGGGGGTGGGGTGGGTGGGGGGGGTGGTGGGGGTTAAAAAAAAACCTATAAATACTCCTAATTTTAAACATTTTTTCACACCTCTTCTCCAACTTTTCCTAAATCCTACTCTCTACTCATCTCCATATTCATCTTCTCAAATTCTCTTATTCTCCATTATATTTTATTTTGCTATTTAATACTTATAGAATTATTATATCTACTTATATATTAATTATCTACTTATAAATACATATACTATATTACTTATATTTCTTAACTACTTAATCTCTACTTATATCTCTTAATACATACATACATACTACATCTACTTAATATATACTTTATATATTAAAGTATTAAATATACTTTATAAACTATTACTATATACTTAATACATAATAATATCTACTTCTCTACTTATATTTCATATATACTTATTTTCTTATTCTCCAATCTCCAATTCTCCATTATACTCTAATATTTAATTCTTATACAATTATTATATCCACTTAATACACACATTCTACATCTACTTAATTTATAGTTTATATATTAAAGTATAAAATATAAGTGTATTACTCATCTTATAGTAGTATACTTGTACGGAGTATATTATATACTATAAACATTATATTATATATTAGTTACTATAACTAGTATTATATTAGTTAATTAGTTAATTAGTATTCTTGTTACATTTTTCATTATACTAGTTAATTAGTTAATTAGTATTCTTGTTACATTTTTCATTATACTAGTTAATTAGTTCATTAGCATTCTTGTTACATTTTTCATTATACTAGTTAATTAGTATTCTTGTTACATTTTTCATTATACTAGTTAATTAGTTAATTAATATTCTTGTTACATTTTTCATTATACTAGTTAATTAGTTCATTACATTCTTCTTACATTTTTCATTATACTAGTTAATTAGTTCATTAGCATTCTTGTTACATTTTTCATTATACTAGTTAATTAGTTCATTAGTATTCTTGTTACATTTTTCATTATACTAGTTAATTAGTTCATTAGCATTCTTGTTACATTTTTCATTATACTAGTTAATTAGTTAATTAGTATTCTTGTTACATTTTTCATTATAATAGTTAATTAGTTAATTAGTATTCTGGTTACATTTTTCATTATACTAGTTAATTAGTTCATTAGCATTCTTGTTACATTTTTCATTATACTAGTTAATTAGTTCATTAGTATTCCCATTAATTGCTAAAACAACTCTACTTCAAAAAACTAGTTAATTGTCATTATAGTTAAACTCACATTATATTATTTTCAATTTATATTTGAACGAAAAAATAGTAGTTCAATCATTTAATTAAAGTACTTAACATTTTATTTAAGTAGTTTTTACTAAATTAAAGTACTTGAAAAGTTGCTATAATTTTAATTTTAGAGTCACACATTAATTCTACTTTGCACTAAATTAGTTTGAAGTATTAATTAAAATAGTTTTAATTAGTTGCATTAGTTTTGTATTCATTATTATATTTGTTGCCAATTAATATTTGTTACATTTTTAAGATGGAAGGTGGTAGATATTCGGTTGATTTGGGTAACCTCCAACGCAATCGAAGGAACGAGATTGGGAGGAAGAAATCACGCAAAGGTAAAGAACTTGCCGGTTCTTCATCTCAAAGCCGAGATGATTTTGAAACGGGTTACCAAAGGCGAGATGGAGATGCAATGTCCGAAGAACAACTACAATAAGAATTGGCCCGACATAATAACCGCTTTCTACAACAACAACAAATCCCGACGACCATTGACGAAGAGGAGCTTGAGGATGAAGATGCGGAGGAAATGGAACCGGAGACGGCCGAGGAGGAGGGTGCCGGCAGCCACGACGCCGACGAGCCTGCCTCATCCCAAACCGCCACCGGTAATAAAAAAAGTAAATTTGAACTAATGCAAAATAATTTTGATAAGTGGAAGGACCCACAAACCGGCTATTGGCACGCAACTTGCAAGTGGTGCAACAACAATTATAGTTTGGGGACCTCCGGCGAATACGGATCCGCCGCAAGGCATCTTAAGGCAAAGCACCCCGTGGACTATGCAAAATTAGGCGGCGGAACGGGGAAGCAAACTCAAATATCGAGGTTTGCGAATTCTCAACCTTTTGGTAATTTCTCCTACAATGATGCACAAAATTTGACTGGTATGGCTAACTTAATTTGTGAAGAAAATTTGCCTTATATGTTTTCTGAAAGTCTTGCTTTAAGAGATTATGCACAAGGTAGTTTAAATCCTCAATTTAGAACTTATAGTCGCAAAAGTGTTAAGAAAGAAATTATAAGGCTTTATAATGCGGAAAAGGCAAGGTTACAAATTTTTTTTGCAAACTTATGGGCGTATTACTATTTGTTCTGACATATGGGAGGATGATTTTCATCATTTATATTATTTGGGTCTGACTGCACATTATATTGATGAGGATTGGAATATGCATAAACGTGTTCTTGCTTTTCGTGAATTTAACGATCGTCACACCGCTGAACATATTTATATTTTGATTGAGCGTATTTTAATTGAGTATAATTTGATTGATAAGGTGTTTGCTATTGGTTTCGATAATGCTACTAATAATACTGCTGCTATACCTAGATTGCGTGAATTGTGTGGTGCCAATACTATGATGGGTAGATTTTTTCATCAACGCTGTGCATGTCATGTTATAAATTTATGTGTGCAAGACGGTCTAAAAGCGTTAGGAGATGCTATGGAGGTAGTGAAGGGGGGGATTAGACGTATTTGGGGTAATGGTCAACTTAGATTAAAATGGCAAACTTATTTGACTGAAAGAGGTGTGAGATATGTTGCTTTTCCTAAAGATTTGAGTATTTGTTGTTATAGTACTTATAAATTACTTAAAGTTGTTCTTAGATATAATGAACATTTTCCTGCTTTTTTAAAACAACATGATAACTATATTATAAACTCGGCTGAGATCGACACTTGCGAAAAAATTTGTAATGTTTTGATATTTTTTTTAATGCAACTGAAACTTTTAGTCATGTTTATAAACCTACCGCAAACCAATTTATTCGTGAAGCTGTTAATCTCGCCGGTGCTTTTAAAGAATTTGAGAATGCCGTTTTCGTGAGTTATTTTTGTGATTATATGAAGGAAAAGTTTTTAAAATATTATGTGCATATTCCCCATATTTATGGTATTGCATTTATTCCGGATCCTCGTTTTAGACTAGCTGATTTGGAAGATTGTTTCAACTTCTATTATCTTTCTTTTTTTGGTGAATTTCCAATGTATGACGATAACCCCATAGATCCGAAAATGGAATACAACGAAGTTAGTGCTTTATTTTATGCCTTATTTAATGAGTTCCGTGCACAATATAGCAACGCTCCCCCTCCCCCGTCACGAACATCTTCATCTAAAGTAAAATCGATTTTTAAATCTGCATTTGGCAATCTTATGAAAAAAACTAAAACAACTCACGTCACTGAACAAAGCGCATTGAATGAGATTACTTTGTATTTAACATATGAAGTTGATTTTGAAGAAAATGATGACTTTGACGTTCTAAACTGGTGGAAGTCAAAAGAAAGAACGTTCCCGATTTTAGCACGGATGGCTAAGCAAGTACTATCAATGTCAGTTTCAACAGTTGTTGTGGAACAAGAATTTAGTTCGACCGGTAACGTCCTAACGGCATCTAGATCGAGATTGAGCGTGGAGTCTCTTGAGACGCTTATATGCTACCATGATTGGTTGAAGGCCGCACGTAGAACTAGGGGTGGACTCGGGCCGGGCGGCCCGGCCCGGCCACTATAGCAACCGGCCCGGCCCGGCCCCGGTGGCCCGGTCCAACGGCGGTTCGGGTCGAACCGGCCCGGTGGATACCGGTTCCGGGCCCGGGCCCTTCGTTTGGTGAACCGGCCCGGCCGGTTCGGGCCCGGTCTGGGCCGGAATTATTATTATTATTTTTTTTTTTGAATTCTTTTTAAGTTTTGGGTTGGATTAGGTATTTTGGGCCATTTGAGGTGGTTTGGGGTTGAGGGGGAGGGATAGGGGGTTAAATAAGAGAAGCAAAAAAAAATTATGACCCGGGTGGCCCGGCCCGGAACCGGCCCGGTCTGGCCCGGAACCGGGAGCCACCGGTTCGGGTCCGGGCCCTCCTTTTGGTGAACCGAGGCCCGGCCGGTTCAAGGCCCGAGCCGGGTCCGGCCCGAACCGAGTCCACCCATACGTAGAACTCAAGAAATGAGCATCACCCCCTCCCAAGATTTTATGGATGACTCAACAACCGATGGTGGCTCTACCTATGCCGGAGATTCCGATTGATTAGTATTTTAGAATTTATTATAAAATGTATTTTGTAGCCCTTTTCAAATTAATTTGTACTTGTACTTCATATTTCAAAGTTGTAAACTTGTACTTCATATTTCAAAATTGTAAATTTGTAGTTGTACTTCAAATTAATTTGTAAACTTGTACTTCATATTTCAAATAAATATGCGTTCATTTTTTCATATGTAGCACTTCTCAAATTAATTAATTGGTTACAAACTTACGACTTAAAATTATTTTTCTAAAATCTAAAGGCGGTTTTTAAATTAAAAATACATTTACAATATGTAATTTGTTTAAATACTTATACACCTATTTTGTAACATTTGTATATTATAAATCAAACCACTTTTCTAAGTACAAATAGCTTTACTTAATTCATTAAATTAATTAACTTATTTTACAATATGTATAACTTAAAAAAAAGATTAATTTTTTTTAAAAAAAAAACCTCCCAAACGGCTATATAGCCGTTGGGGCTTTGGGTGGGGGGCAGGGGGGTCCCGGGGGTGGTGGTGTGGGGAGTGGGGTTCAAAAACATCTATAAATACATCTATTTTCTAACATTTTTCTACACCTCTTCTCCAACTCTTCTTCGTCTTCATCTTCTCTTATTATCCTACATTCCTACTTATACATATACCATTTTAAAGATGGAAAGTACATCTTCCCTTATGCAAAACAATTTTGATAAGTGGAAGGACCCGAAGACCGGACTGTGGTGTGCAACTTGCAAGTGGTGCAAGAAAGAGTGTAGCTTGGGGTATTCACACGGATACGGGATGCCAATAAAACATATGAAGTCCTGTGACAAAGGGAAAACAACAACCAACGGTGGCGGAAATCTCAATTGATATTTATTAGAAAATGTATTTCGTATTGTTATTTTTTTCTCAATTCTCAAATGTAGTTCCTATTTCAAATAAATGCACTTGAACTTTGTTTTTAATAGGAATTTGTATAATCTATAATTATTTTTAAAAAAAATTGAACCGGCCCGGCCCGGCGGGTGGCCTGACCCGTGACCCGGCCGGGTGGCCCGGCCCGAACCAGAACCGGCCTGTAACGAGAGCAGTTAATAGGGAAAATGCAGAGGAAAATGATGGGGCCCAGGAGAATAATCAAGTGGCAATTAACGGAGGGGAAAGACGGAGTACTCGCACCAAAATAACAAACACGATGCTGAAGGATTATGTGTGGTCCCATTAATAGTATAAATACTTATTTTATATGTTATCAAATGGTATGGAACATGTATGACTCTGTTATCTCTCTTTCTCTTGGGACGTTTCTGTAAAAATAATTGTCAGACCAAAACCTTATCGATAGCTATGGAATCTGCCCGGTGTTCTTATTTCATCTTCTTTTAGAATACGATCTTGCTATTGTTATATATATTGTTACACTGGTGCTTTCATCCCTGAACATGGTGGAAGGTACTCGTCTGAAGGAGTTATCTGCCAACATCACGAAGATGATGGAAATGTTGGAAGAAGATAAGCGTGAAAACAATATGAGATTTGAAACACTTGAGGCTACGGTAAGCGCACTGTTGCAGAACACCAAAACGCCCGATCCTGAAAAGGACCACGAACCTGGAAGACATTCCATAAGCAGCAGTTCATATCATCAGCCATTCCAGGTACGAAATGTTAAACTGGATTTTCCACGCTTTGATGGATCGGGAGTTCTCCAATGGATATTTAGGGCAGAACAGTTCTTCGATTATTACGGTACACCAGATGCTCACCGCCTCACCATTGCTGCCATTCATATGGAGAAAGAGATAGTCCCCTGGTTCCAGATGACTAATAGATCTACTCCATTTCACTCCTGGAAGGATCTAACTCGTGCCCTAGAACTTGAATTTGGTCCATCACCTTATGAGAATACTAGATCGATCTTATTCAAACTCTCTCAAACAGGTTCAGTTCATGAGTATTACAGCCAGTTTACTGTTCTAGCCAATCGAGTCCAGGGGGGTGACTAGTGAAGCTTTGTTGGATTGCTTTGTCGGAGGTCTGAGATTTGATATTCAAAGGGAGGTAATCGCTCAATCACCAACAACATTACTCAGGTGTGTGTCATTGGCAAAGCTATTTGAAGAAAAATATATCAATACACACAAATCGCATCCACATAGCTTCCAGAACCGTATGATGACTCAAGCATCTCATTCAAATTCCAATACCAGTTTACCTTCATCCCAATCCATCAAATCTACAAGTCTTCCTCCCTTACTACCTAAACCTGTCACAAACTTCAGCTCCACGTTCCAGAAATCAGCATGTATCAAAAAAATTTCACCAGCTGAAATGCAATTAAGGAGAGAGAAAGGGTTATGTTATACATGTGATGAGAAATTTACTTCCTCTCATAAATGTCCCAACAAACAGTATTTACTGTTGCACATTGATGAAGAAGAGAACTTGGAAAGTACACCTGATTCCTCTATTACCAGTGAGGTGGGCTTGGAACAGCTTAGCCTCGAACATCATCTGTCCTATAATGCTCTGAAAGGCTCTTCTGGCGTTGGTATTATGCGGTTTCAGGGAACGATAAACGGAATGGTGGTCCAGATATTACTGGACAGTGGAAGTTCTGACAATTTTTTACAACCACGGATTGCTAAATGTTTGAAATTACCAGTGGAACCTGCATCAAAATTACAGGTATTAGTTGGGAATGGCCACTCCTTGGTAGCTGAAGGGTTAGTGCAGCAACTGGAAGTTAAAGTGCAAGGTCATTCTATTCAGATTCCGGTTTATTTGTTGCCTATTTCAGGTGCTGATCTGGTTCTAGGAGCCACATGGCTGGCCACCTTGGGTCCTCATATTTCGGATTACAGCAAGCTCACATTGAAGTTTTATAAGGAAAATCAATTTATAACTCTGTATGGGGATAAACCTACACTACCACGCCCTGCTCAGTTTAATCATCTTATGAGAATGTTTCGTACACAAAGCATTGCCGAAGTCTCTATACTACAACAGGGAGAGGCAGAAACACATGAGGATGTAGAGCTGGAATTACCACCAGATATACCAATAGAGATGCATGGGCTAGTTTGGAAATACAAGAAGATTTTTGATATACCAACTAAACTGCCTCCTTCACGCACTCATAATCACTCTATACCATTGGTAAAAGATGCTAAACCAGTGAAAGTACGACCTTATCGATACCCACACAGTCAGAAACAGGAGATTGAAAAAATGGTGCAAGATATGTTGGAGGCAGGTATTATTACTCCTAGCACTAGTCCGTTTTCATCACCTGTTATTTTGGTCAGGAAGACTGATGGTTCGTGGAGATTTTGCACTGATTATAGGGCGTTGAATGCCATTACCATTAAGGATTCCTTTCCGATTCCGACAGTTGATGAGTTATTGGATGAACTATATGGCTCCAAGTATTTCACCAAATTGGACCTCAGATCAGGATATCACCAAATACTTGTCAATAAGGAAGGATAGACATAAAACGGCTTTTAGAACACACCATGGACACTATGAATGGGTAGTGATGCCATTTAGACTCACCAATGCCCCAGCAACCTTCCAAGGCCTAATGAACGAGGTTTTCAAAGGATTTCTTCGCAAATTTGTTCTGGTTTTTTTCGATGATATATTAATATATAGCTCAACATGGGAAGAGCATATGTCATATGTGGAATCGGTCTTCACAATACTTCACGAAAATCAGTTATATGCCAAAATATCTAAATGCTCATTTGGATTACAGCAAGTGGACTATTTAGGACATACAGTTTCTGCACAAGGGGTATCAATGGACAGGAAGAAGGTTCATGCAGTGCTCGATTGGCCGAAACCTATTACTACCAAGCAGTTGAGGGGGTTTATAGGGCTCACAGGGTATTACAGAAGATTTATCCAATCCTATGCTAGCATTGCTACACCACTGACAGACATGTTAAAACAAGATAAGTTTCAGTGGAGCGAAGAGGCAGAGGCAGCCTTTGCCAAGCTTAAAGAGGTGATCACTCAAGCTCCAATTTTGACCTTGCCAGACTTCTCTAAACCTTTTATTTTAGAAACAGATGCTTCAGGTACGGGTATTGGGGCTGTACTAAGACAAGGAAATCACCCCATTGCTTACTTTTCTAAGAAACTGAATGCTAGTATGCAAAAACAGTCAGCTTACGCAAGGGAGTTTTATGCTATTACAGAGGCCATAGCAAAGTTCAGACACTACTTGTTGGGTCACCGATTCATTATTAGAACCGATCAAAAGAGCCTTAGATCCCTCACAGATCAAGCCATTAACACACCGGAGCAACAGAAATGGTTGCAGAAGTTGTTGGGCTATGATTTTTCCATTGAATACAAACTGGGAAAAGAAAATATTGGTGCTGATTCTCTCTCTCGCTCCTTCTTGTTGGCCTTATCTCAACCTAAATTGCAACTCTTAACAGATTTGAGGGCAGCCTTGTTAGAAGATGCACAGTTGAAAACTATTCTACAACTTTGTTCACAAAACCAGCAGCCAGATCCTAATTATTCAGTTTCTGATCGATTATTATATTGGAAGGGCAGATTGGTGTTACCTAAGGGCCATGAATTGGTGCACAACGTGATGAGTGAGTTTCACAGTACTCCAGTGGGCGGCCATTCGGGTGTTACCAGAACTTCTAAACGCATTGCATCTCAATTTTATTGGCCAGGAATGCAGCAGGACATCAAGGATTTTGTGAGAAATTGTCTTCTGTGCCAACAAGCTAAGCATGACAACTCCTTACCGTCAGGATTACTGGAACCATTACCTATTCCAGCACTTATATGGGAAGATGTGGCAATGGATTTCATCACTGGACTTCCTTCTTCTAATGGATATACTGTCATTATGGTAGTTATTGACAGATTGTCCAAATATGCTCATTTGGCTAGTTTAAAATCAGATTTTAATAGCAAACAGGTGGCTGAATTGTTCATTAAAACTGTAGTTAAGTTGCATGGTTTTCCCAAGACCATAATATCTGATCGTGATAAGGTTTTTACTAGTCAATTTTGGCAGCATATGTTTAAGTTGAGTGGCACTACCTTGAAGTTAAGCACAGCTTATCATCCTCAAACCGATGGTCAATCGGAAGCTTTGAATAAATGCATTGAAATGTATTTACGTTGCTTTACTTTTGCTAATCCTAAGGAGTGGTGTAAGTTACTTCCTTGGGTGGAGTATTGGTATAATTCTTCTTTTCATCACAGCACTGGCATAACCCCTTTCAAAGCTGTATATGGCCGTGAACCTCCTTCTCTGTTTCGATATACATTCAATCATCAAGATCCTCCTAGTGTTCAAAAACAACTTGAAGAAAGGGATGCCATCCTCAGTCAATTAAAGGACAACTTGCAGAAGGCACAACAACACATGAAAAAATATGCCGATCTCAGAAGGAAACCCTTTGAAATGGAAGTTGGTGATTTGGCCTTGGTTAAGCTTCAACCTTATAGGCAGCATTCTGTAGCCTTAAGGAAGAATCAGAAACTTGGTCTTCGATACTTTGGTCCCTTTCCAGTGATACAACGAATTGGTGAAGTCGCTTACAAACTCCTTTTACCTCCATCGGCTAGAATTCACCCTGTTTTTCATTGTTCCCAGTTGAAACCATGTAAAGGGGACCATGCTACCTCTTATGTTCCACTGCCAATTACTACTTCAGAGTTCGGACTAACATTGCAACCCGAAGCTATCTTACAGTCAAGGGTTGTTATCAGAAATCAACAACAAGTTCCACCAGGGCTCATCAAATGGGAAGGACTGGAAGAACATGAAGCTACTTGGGAGGACATTAAAGCTATGCAGTCAGCCTTTCCCGACTTCAACCTTGAGGACAAGGTTTCTTTTAAAGGGGGAGGTAATGTAACGAGAGCAGTTAATAGGGAAAATGCAGAGGAAAATGATGGGGCCCAGGAGAATAATCAAGTGGCAATTAACGGAGGGGAAAGACGGAGTACTCGCACCAAAATAACAAACACGATGTTGAAGGATTATGTGTGGTCCCATTAATAGTATAAATACTTATTTTATATGTTATCAAATGGTATGGAACATGTATGACTCTGTTATCTCTCTTTCTCTTGGGACTTTTCTGTAAAAATAATTGTCAGACCAAAACCTTATCGATAGCTATGGAATCTGCCCGGTGTTCTTATTTCATCTTCTTTTAGAATACGATCTTGCTATTGTTATATATATTGTTACACGGCCATAGCTCGGGCCGGTCCCGGGCCAACCTCTACCAGACCCGAGGCCCGACCGGACCTTGGCCCGGCCCGGGTCCATCACTAGTCAATATAAGACACGAATGGTCAAAAACTATCAATCTAAAACAAAAAATTCCTTGAATTTTTGAATATTATTTAACCTGAATAAAATAATAAGCTTTTGTGAAGAAAAAAAAATTAAAAGGTGGCCATGGAATAAATAAAAAACTGAATGAATCAAAATCTAATACGATAGTATATGACAAATACAACAAATACAACAAATATTTCTTTAATATATGACAAATACGACAAAAGTTCATGTCCGGAATTCCGGACAGGAACCGCCGTCCGGACGGCGGCGTTTGGCCGCCTTCCCGGTGGAATTTTTTGATGAAATTTTTATGGAATGTTCTCCATCAAGTCTAGTTTATCCACAAAAAAATTCAGCCAAAAACTCAATCGGGAAGGTCGTCAAATAATTTTTGCAAGTTAACTGGTCCGGAATATGTATTTTCCGGACCAGTTAACTTGCAAAAATCATTTGACGACCTTCCCGAATGAGTTTTTGGCTGAATTTTTTTGTGGATAAACTACACTTGATGAAGAACATGTCATAAAAATTTCATCGAAAAATTCCACCCGGAAAGCGGCCAAACGCCGCCGTCCGGACGGCGGTTCCGGTCAGGAATTCCTGACCGGAAGAGTACTCTGACAAATACAACAAATGGAAACTTGTGTAATGTTTCCCCACCATCATTCACAAAAGTGTCATATTTACAAGTGACAATGGACCCAAAAGAAAAAATACAGAGTTCCATCGATGGAGCATTTACATACAGTTTCTCTCCTTTCAATACAATATCAACAACACAATTATTGTTGGATCCCATCGACGATCCAGCAGCCAATGATTTGTGTGTGGGAAGAATACATACGTATATATAGAAATGAGATCCGGTGGTCAAGGAAAAGTAGATATCCTGTCGAAATTATTGGGCGAAGCTGATGAATTCATGACTTCCTGGCTGAGCTCATTCACCTTGTTTAATAAGAGGGACTGCTCGGTCTCAAGCTGGAGCATGAAGTCTTCTTGGGTGAGGTGGAGGCTTTCTAGCTCACTCAACGTTGTGGAGAGCCCTTCCACCTCATTGTCCTTCACCAACGACTGAAGCTTCATCATCAACTGCTTCATCTGTCATATATCCAATCAACTTTCAAAATTACTACTCATGATGAAGTGATGCTGTTTTTTCAAAAAAGTTTGGTTCATATTTATATCTACCTCCCCCAATGTCAATGGACCTCAACAATTTCTAAATTAACAAATATCAGATTTTCTGCAGACGGCGCTGGAGAGGATAAAACGATTATACTGAGAATTTAGTTTTTTACAAGACTAAATTACCCTCAATATTTAATTTACCATGCAGATAAGTTTTTAGAGAAAGCTCTCAACACTGAAATGCATTAAAAACACCAAATTCAATCCGTAGACGGACAACTCTTATGAATAACATCATATTCTATCCTCCTTCAATGTTAAAAGTGTCGTTTGCGCAAAATCTAACTATTCTCAAGGGGCTAAGTTGTAATTTCTAAAAACTGCAATTCAATTTATAATTTGATTAACCTGGGATAAGTAGATCTATTTAATGGTTTAACCCTTCATAGTATTCACATGAATGACATTTAATACTGTATACATCGAGTTGAAAGTGCTTGAGCTTCCATTACCTGGTTAGAAATATCACGGCGTGCTTTAGCTACGGAAGACTCGGAGCCGAGGCTCGATTTTTTCTCATTTTCAGGAACTCTTCGTGTGATTTGAATATAGATCTCTCCCTTTTTCACACCTTGGAGGGGAATCCACTTTTCAAACATTTTGTTTCGGGGAAATCTTTGATATTCGATAACACAATCACCTAGGCTTCTTTCTGGGAGAAAAAGATTATGATCTTTCACGTGCAAAGATAGAGGACTGCCATCATCAGGAAATTCAAAAGTTTGGTGCCATTGTGGTTTCAGAGTTTTAGAAATAATCTGTTCAAGAAATGCAATATACCGTGGTAAATTGCTGATTGCTCTAAAAACATTAATTAATTACAATAAGAACGGTCAATTTAAATATACATGTATAAAAAGAGCTTCGGCGGCCAAGGAAAGTCTAGTGCCTATTTTACTTCTTTTTCTCCATCAATCCTTATTTTAAGAAAAGATGATGTCGTCCACAGTACACCGGCTTGGCTTTCCCAAGTCATTTTGAAAAAGTACTTAAAATCTATCAAAAGAATTAAAGAGGCATACTCTAAATGTGGGGAAAATGAATTTCACTTATCCCTAACTCCTCTCTAATGGCACAGATGAATTACAGAAAGTTGGAATAGAATCAAATTGATTGCAACGCCAAATTGGAGATTGTAGAGCCTGCAGATTTGCTCATTTTGTCCCGTATCTTATGTAGTATGCATAATATCATTATTAGGGGGTGTTTGGATCTGATTCTCAAAACTGATTCTGCTTCTTCAGGGAGCAGAAGCAGAAGCTGGAGTGTTTGGGTGAAATTCCAGAAGCACTTCTGGTGCTCTAATTTACTCTCAGAATCAGTTTTTTTAGAAGCTGGTAGGTACCAGCTTCTGAAAACTGATTCTGATTCTGCTTCTGCTCTTTAAAAAGAAGCAGAAGCAGAATCAGTTCCAAACACCCCCTTAGTCCCGCAACTTTCTTTACATGCATATCATGTCTTGTACTCCCTCCGTTAGGGATGTAAAAAAAAAACCGACCCGCAATGACCCGCCCTGGCTCGAGACATTTGGGGCGGGTCCGCCCCGCCCCGTCTTACAAATGGGGCGGGTCTGCCCCGCCCCGTCTTGCAAATGGGGCGGGTCCGCCCCGCCTATACAATGGGGCGGGTCCGGGTATTAGAATTGACCCGTGCCGCCCCGACCCGCCCCGCTCAATATATAAGTATACATACTGTTTCTTAAATAATACTACAAATATACTTCAACATACATAAGTGTGTATACAATAAATCATAAATTCTTTGATCTTATAATATATGAATATATATTAGAATGAGATGAATGACGGATTATCAATGTCTTCTTTATATATAGAATTTTAATACATATATTCAATTATTAATATAATTAATTAGATTAACTATTCAAGCCTGAGTAATTTTTCCTTAATTTTTGAAATTTTTAATGTATCATGAATTTGATGTAATATATTGATTTTTAATTATTATTTACAGATAAACTTTATGTAGATTCAATTGGTAACAACTTCCCACAAATAAAAATACATACTAGCTAATTAGGTTGCGGCAGGGCGGGGCGGACCCGCCCTGCCCCGCATGGGGCGGGTCATGGGTCAACAAGTTTGGACCCGTGCAGGTCACGGGGCGGGGCAGACCCGCCCCGCCAAGTCATGGGGCGGGTCCGGGTCTTGCAATACCCGCCCCGCCCCGACCCATTGCCATGCCTACCCTCCGTCCCTCAAAACATTACCAATTTTGACCGGCACGTAGAATAATAAAGTAAAAACCGTGTGGTTGAGGTTTGTGCAGAGGAGAGAGAAATAACAGGAACCACAAAATAATTGATTAAAAGGGAAAGTGGCAAAGTTTATTGGGACGTCCCAAAAAGTAAAGATGGCAAAGTTTTAAGGGACGGAGGGAGTAAATAATACTCCCTCCGTCCCAGAAAATTCTTCCCAGTTTGACTTGGATCGGATTTTAAGAAAGTGGGATTAAAGTGGAAATGTATGGTTGTGGTTGAATAAGAAAAAAGTAAATGAATGGTAGCCACACAAACCTTTCCAAAAAGGGAAACGGGAAGAATTTTTTGGGACGTCCCAAAATGGTAAGTGGGAAGAATTTTCTGGGACGGAAGTAGTAAATATGTCCGTCCATATTGAGGATCTTTACACCGGATTATACCATTTCCGGCAAAAATACACCAGAGAACCTGCCACTGGCATGGATTTTTTCGCCACCAGAAAAGTCCTTATTGTGAACAATTTGCATAAAACTTATGTAAGCCTATAATTATCTTGGACATGCTAAAACAAAGGGACTCAACCTCTATGGTTGATTGCATCTTTAAGAAAACTTTTAAGTGAGCGAGTGATGTCATTTTCTAACCTTTGTTGTTCTCTTCAAATTTCCATAATGTACACTCACATATGGATCACTTGTGCCTCTGATATCAGCGACAATAAGGTCTCTTGCTTCAACGAGGGTAAGTTCAATCCATCCATCTCGATGGGAACCCTGAACAGAACACCAAATATCAAGAGAGAGAGAGAGAGAGAGAGAGAGAACAAATCAAAATAGAATTACCAACTGTTAGTTTTTCATTTTTGCTTTTCTTTTCCTTACTAACATTTATCATAAGGTTAGTGAAAATAACAATTGACTAACACTTGGATTCACTCCTAAAAGGTCAAAATCTGGTAGAAAACATGCCCCAAAAATGCTGGGGATTGACAGAGCCGGTCAATCTTTGATCCCGTGTTTTCATTTTGAGACGTCGAATTTCTCATTTGAGCTTATGCTTTGATATCATATTAAAACTTGACTCCTTATATTCATCTTTATAGTTGGAGATGAGTACTACAATGATCTACAGTTTGTTGTGCTTTGCTTTGCTTTGCATGTTTAATTGTTTATATTTTTCACATGTGAGATGACTTCAAACATGTACAGTAGAACATACCTTGGATCCTTCATGATCATGAACTCGAACCGCTTCCATTCTAAGACGCAGTTCTCCAGAATTAACCTTTTCAAGGGGAACCCATACATCCTTTGGAGATCCTTCTAGAAGCCCTTCTAAGTTTACTCGTGCACTGCCCATATTCTCATCACTGAACCTTTCTTCAATAAAGCACCTTATTTTTAAATATTCACCACCGCCAATTTCATCAAATTCAAATTTCTGATCCCATCCCGGATCTGAA